GTAGTTAATTAATATTACTCAGTACTTATATGTATAATTACACTGTAACAGGGACACCTTAAAATAAAGTGTAACCTAATTTAACATTTATGAGTAAAACTGAATATTCAAAAGAAAAATGTAAGACCGGAACTGATAGGTAATTATGAAATAAGAAATAAAGCCACACACTGTGACATTTGTCAATGTAAAATCACATGAAATATAAAGTCAGAAATATGAAAAATAAAATCATATTGAGAGATAAAAAGTCATATTGTTAGATATCAAGTTGAAATACAAGAAATAAAGTCACATTGTGAGATATACAGTAGTCACATTGTGAGATGTAAAATCACAAATATGAGAAATAAAGTCATGAAAGTCATAATTTCAGATATAGTCGCAAATGCGTTAAGTAACATCACATCACGTGATATAAAGTCACATTGTGCAATGTAAAATGGCAAATGGAATAAAGTCACATTGCAAGATATTAAAGGGGTCATATGATGCAATTTAAAATTTTCCTTTCTCTTTGGAGTGTTACAAGCTGTTTGTGCATAGATAAGATCCCTAAAATTACAAAGACTAAAGTCTCAAACCCAAAGAGATATTCTTTATAAAAGTTAAGACTTGTCCACGCCCTCCTAAAACGCCTCGTTTAAACACACCGCATAACACCGCCCAAATGTTCACGCAAAGAAAGAAGGCATAACTTTTATTCTCGCTGTAGTATTGCTGTTGCCGCTGCCGCCATGTCGTGGAGACGCTGTGTTTCGTTGTGAAAGCGAAACTACTTTGTTTGGCCTTCCAAAAGAGGATGATATCCACTTTGTCATGCCTAGACCTGATCTGTGTGTCAGGAAATATACAAACTCTGGACAGGGAGGTTAGATAAATCCAGCTATTTATTAATTGTAAAGCAACATAAACAGGTATAGGGAGCGATGGAAGGGAGAACTCCGAGTGCGGGTGGATGATTTAATAGGAATAGTCTTATTGATGAAGGTGAATGAGGATCGGAAAGCACACACCTCAGCGCCAGAGAGGTAAGTCGTTTTCAGTAGCAATTTCAAGGAGATAATCTTCGTTCAACGGAGATCGTTCGCAAGAGAACTGGAGAGAGTCCGCTGGAATACTGGAGATCGCAGGATAGAGAGTCTGTAGCCTAATCGAGGACAGACAAAGACTGAACTGAGGTGTGTGCTTATATGCTGGGGCTGATTGAGTGCAGGTGTTCAGAATTCAGGTGATTGGGATCGTTGCGTGGTGGTGAGAGAGCCTGGTGACTCCGTGACACCGTGCTGGTCACTGAGGAAATACATCAACTTTGCACTGTGGATCGCCGGATCGGCTTTCACCGTGGACGAAGCGGAGTCCACACCGGGGTCGTCACATATGGTTGCCGCAAACCCGCCGGCCGCTCCTTCGTCGAATCTGCCGGCTGCGCCGTTCCTCACTCAAGCCCCCCGGCCTCCGCTCACTCAAGCCCGCCGTGTGTGACGCTGTGTGTTTCGTTGTTAAAGCGAAGCTACTTTGTTTGGCCATCCAAAACAGGACACAACTAAAAATCAGTGGTTAAGTTGTATTTACAACACTGTTCCAGAACAGTTCAACCCAAATATTCAGATGTGTGCAGCGCATTTTATGGAGGACTGTTTCCTGAACCTGCAGAGTAACGTTAGCCTACAATGCATCTGTGCACAAAGGCTGTTTCTATAAAGTGGGGCAGTTCCAAATTTGCAGCCTGTAAGTAAGTTTTTTATATTTAAAGAATTTGCCACCGATGATTCAAACGCGAGTTTTAAGCAGTGTAGAGTAGCGCTTGTTGTTTGTCGTTTCTCCGATCACAAATGCAGACATGGTTTTATGTTTACGCACAATGCACTGGATAGCTGGCCAATCAGCGTACACCTCGCTTTTCATAACAATGAGCTTTGTAAAAATCGACGTGTTTCAGAGAGAATAAACAATAATGTACATTCTGTGAAAAATAATTTGTTTTTTTAACCTTAAACCGCATAAACACATTGCATTACAACAAATACACAACATAATGTTCTTTTTAGCAACGTCATATGACCCCTTTAAGGCACATATGCAACCAATCACATTGTGAGATATAAAGTTGCAAATGCAACAAAGTCACTTTGCAAGATACAGTGACAATGTGAGATGTAAAGTCACAAATATGATAAATAAAATCACACTGTGTGATATAAAGTTGCAAATAGGATAAATAAAGTCACATATGACGTGCAATTATGACAAATAAAGTCAAATTGCAAGATATAAAGTCACAAATACAACAAATAAAATCTTTCTGTGAGACATAAAGTGACTAATTAGCAGTTATTCTTTATATTTTATTATTTATGTATTTATTTATTGGGTGGAAACAGGCTTCAATAAATACCAAATTAGAGCCATGTGTCAAATGAGGACAAGGGTTAAAAATGTAAATTGTTAGAAATGGAGTGTAGTAATTTAATTTTATTGGTTTCTACAAAGACAAACTTTATTCATTCATTCATTCATTCATTCTTTTTTTTTTTGCCATAACATTAATTGTGCTCAAAAGAAAGAAAAATCAGGAAATTACATTCATAAAGAAAATGTCAATTTTGAATTCATTTGTTGGCTGTAAGTTATATTGAACCTGTTCATGGTTGGGCGAATTAATCTTGTCTTTGTCACTGCTGAACAGTTCTTGTCTTCAGGTTTAAGTGCTATGCACACATCTTGACTTTCCATTGCTATTCAGATATTCAGAACAGAATAATAGCTTACTGCATACTGCACACTATGCACTGCAACTGCTGGTATTTTTTTAATAGTGTGGAGTGGACAGTTTAGAATGACATGCTTCGGTCTTCAAAAGGGTTAGAGTAATGCAGGCAGACAGGAATAATGCATTTAACTGACTTTACTGTCAGTGAATTTCAGCTCTCTCAGTGTGTCTGCCGTTGATCGTATAATAGTATGTGATACAGCACACATTATGCAATGGCATACATTTCATCCTAACAATGAGCTTTGTAAAAATCGACGTGTTTCAGAGAGAATAAACAATAATGTACATTCTGTGAAAAATTATTTGTTTTTTTAACCTTAAACCGCATAAACACATTGCATTACAACAAATACACAACATAATGTTCTTTTTAGCAACGTCATATGACCCCTTCAAGTAAGTAGTTGGTAAAACCCCATTGTCTTTGTCACTGCTGAACAGTTCTTGTCTTCAGGTTTAAGTGCTATGCACACATCTTGACTTTCCATTGCTATTCAGATATTCAGAACAGAATAATAGCTTACTGCATACTGCACACTATGCACTGCAACTGCTGGTATTTTTTTAATAGTGTGGAGTGGACAGTTTAGAATGACATGCTTCGGTCTTCAAAAGGGTTAGAGTAATGCAGGCAGACAGGAATAATGCATTTAACTGACTTTACTGTCAGTGAATTTCAGCTCTCTCAGTGTGTCTGCCGTTGATCGTATAATAGTATGTGATACAGCACACATTATGCAATGGCATACATTTCATCCAGCAGTATGCTATGCTGTTTTCACATGACTTCAGTGGCGTCCAGTTATCATCTAAGAAATAAATATTATGGTTGATATTTTTTCAGATTCATTTGTCACACTTGAAATGAAAAGTCGAAATGTTGTCCCACAAAGTGTGCTTTAGTTGTACACTTGACATTTTGGCACATGTGGGGTATTCTACACTCTCAGAAAAAAGGTACGAAAGCAGTCACTGGGACGGTACCTTTTCAAAGATACACTTTTGTACCATTTGTACCCCTAGAGACTCTATTAGTACCTTAAAGGTACATATTACTGATGTATATTAGTACCTAAATGGTGCATATTTATATCTTTTGAAAGGGCACTGTCACAATGATAACTTTTATACCTTTTTTTTTCTGAAAATTTGCATATACTGCACAAATAGCATAATAAAAATGTTGTGTGCTATTATGAACATAGTACAGCATTCTAGAAGTGAAAGGGGAATTTTGTGGGGTCCTTCTTATTTTTTCTTTCTAAACCCAGTTGTCATTTATTGCAAAAATATTAATTTTAGTAAAAAGTCTACAGATAAACATCTATTTCTTTCTTTTAAATGACAAGGGATAAGACTAAGGACTTCTTTCAAGCATCATTTCGAATGTTTCCTTCTGAGGTAAAGCAAACAGCTTTCTTATTGGCTGTAAATGAGGTGTTGTTGCTGAGCAACGTGAACATTTGAATAACAAGAAAGCAAAGGTAAAAAAGTGAAATTGTTATTCATTATCCAATTCCAAGAAGGCATAATGAGGAGTTGAAGAGCACTTTGGGAATAAGACATAGGTGCTAAATGAAACTTTGAAAGTTATTTAGAATAATCAGAATAATTGCACTGTTTTATTTTTTTTTATCTCATTAATTATTATTAATATAATATGCTTTACCCCTATACCTGTAAGCAATGGTCATTTTATAACACATTTGTAAGAATGACAAATGCAAACATTGGAAGCAGATGTTGATATATAACACTTTATTCTACTATTTATTATAATCAAATAAAAACAAATATGGAGCAAAATTAAGCAATCAACATTTTGCTTGTTACAAGTTTGTTTAGACTGTATATATAAAAGTCTTTAATAGTTTGTAGTTAATTTTTTGGCAATACATTTAGAGCAGGTACTTTGTTGATACGGAAAGCATCTCAATATTATTGTAAAGGGAACTGCTGTCACCTAGTGGTGGCTCATGAGCAGTAGTGAATGAATATACTCTATAATTTAATGTACATAGTAATATATGTAATATAATTTTTAGCTGAGTGATCCACATTTGAATCCATGGTTAACATATTCAGAGTAAGGAGTTCAAAATTCAACCTGAAATACTAATTGAAAGACAATAATTAAAAATATGCATTCACAAATCATGTTGTTGTCATTTTAAAATATCCCTATGCAATATCAATGTACTTACATGACATCCAGAAAATACATTTATTTATTGTGTTCAAAGAACATGAAGTCCTACAAAAGAAGAATAATATCAGATTATTCACTATGCTGAAACACGCAGAGCTTATAGAGCAACATTAGAAAAATATAAACTGGTCTAACCAGAAATATGTTGATGCATAACAATGCCTTATTTTTGCTTACTATGAGAAAACATGCTCCAAAAAGAGCAGCTTTGATCTTCACGTCCAGATCCATAGGAAAGGAGATTCCAAAATTGTCTGCATCGGTGAAAGCTTCTCTCACCAGACCTGTCCATTGTTTAGAGATTCTGCCCACCTTTGTTGTTTCATCCATGGACAAAACCTGTTTAGACACAAAAAAATAACTATTTATGATCATGAAAAATGTTTTGTTGTATGTATTATGGAAGGATCACATGATTTTATAGTTTTATGACCAAGATCAAAAGCCAAATCAAACTGTTATCAATCTTCCTGTCTTGTATGCTTCATACATCAAAGTTCACATCAGCGCAACATCTGCATGAACAGAACGGCCCCACGATCTTCAGAACTGCTTCTTTCTTCTCATTCTGTATGGTATACTTAGGAAGGAAAGGATGCCAGTTCTGGATCACATATCCAATCGGGTTCCCCGGTGGAGACTGGATTTCAAGCTAAGAGGATGACAGTAAAGACACATAAACAGTGATTAGAATTTAGGCATAATTATTCTTGAAATATAGTAGATCTGTATAATTATTCACAACTTAAAGGTTGCATTTAAGCTGTTAATTCAATCACAAGCATGACCCATGATGGTGGCTTAGCTGAGTACCCATCATGCAACACATCATTCGTAACAGTACATTGGTGAAGATGATTTGAAAGCATGACATGCATAGGCTGGATGTTTATTCAGCAATGGTCTAAAATATTAACAGGGTCAAAGACATCTAAAAGTGTCCACGAGTGCCCAAAAAGTGTATGTTGAATTATGAATTATTATTATTAATAACATCATAAACTCAAGGTATTACTTCAACCTCAGCTACCTTGCATTTTCATTAAAATTTCCTGATATTTTAAAATATTTATTGACACGCAGTCATTAAAATCTACAGGGGTCCTCACTATTATATTATTTCCTATGTATGTATGTATGTATGTATGTATTAATTATCCTGCATGTTAGTGGCACTTTAATTAGTTAGACAATGTATACAATATTATTAAGCAGTGAAGCCATTTTTTTAAGCCAAAAAAAGTTTTATTTTTAATGATTTTTACTTTTAATGAGGCTTTCTTTATGCACGCCAAAAAGAAATTGAAAACATCAATTTCCGGGAGCACACATCATTCACTTCTTCGTCTGAAGCTTGCGTCCGCAGCATGGCAAGAAACCTAGAGGACGCAGTGTCTCGTTCCCTACTCAGGGAACCATGGTTACATAAGTAACCTGAGACGTTCCCTTTCATGGGAACTTCGAACTGCGTCTTCTAGGGGTCGCTATGGGGAACGGTATACCCACGCCACCATGCTGAGGGGAGTGCATGCCAGAACCATGGCGAGCACTAAGCACCAACTCTACCATATTGCTATGGGAGTCACCCCTGGGACGTTAGACGGCTGTCAGTGACGTTATTCCCTATGGCCAAAGGCCTAGGCTACATACCCCAAAATACTTACCTGTTAGGGCCAGACTCCTGGGCCCGGGGTAGAGCTCAAGGTAGAGACCTGCGCGGGACGGATTTTTCAGTCCCACTCCCGCAAGATTCTGTCCCGCGCCCGCCCGTTCCCGCAGAAATATATCTTATCTGGTCCCGCTCCCGCCCGCGACATTCATGTTTTGTCCCACTCCCGCCCGCAAAAGCCCGCATAATTTTAGAAAGTGGGCAAAGCATAACGTGCACACACTTTGGCTTTCTTTATGCACGCCAAAAATAAATTGAAAACATCCTCATCATAGAAGATATGTACTCAAGTCAATGTACACTCCTGTTCAAAAGTCTGGGTTTTGTTTTAATACATTAATAATTTAAAGAGTTTAATTCAAATTTAAGATGCATTAGGAGAATTTCTTCAAAAACTTATTTAAAAAAAAAAATCTTACCAAACCCAAACTTTTGTACAGTAGTGTACGCATGGATTGTAAAATGATTTTATCCAAAGCATCTTTTTTTTCTACACAAACAGCACGATGATGATAGTTCATGAATCTACAATCTACATGAATCTAGTTTGAAACTACAATCTTTCAAGCTTATATCTTTAACAATGAAGCCTGAGATTCAAGTCAAAGGCTTTGAAACCTGAATAAAAGTGAGAGTTACAACACAGAATGTCGCTTCATGAACCAAAATACGTATTACCTCTTGCAGGCAACAGGGACAACAGCAGCTTCCGCACTTCAAAGGACGAGTGAGTGTCATCACTTCCTGCCCAATGTTATCCTGAACATGGAGGACGAATGAGCGCAGTGGTCCGCAGAACTGTCTATTACAGCAGTCGTTTTCCTCAGCCACAAAGAACACCTGTTGCCCCATACTGTTCTTCACCATGTATTTATTATTGGTCTCCCAGCCCAGTATAACTGTGATACGACAAAATAAAAATATAAAAGTAAGATGCATGTATTTTATCAAGTTTTGTGCACTACATTAACTGACCCATCGGTAAGCCCTGCCTTGGTTACAACCCAATCCTGCCTTGCAACTGTCTGGCAACTATTGCCATCTGCAATATTATCAGACAAGCCCTTGCTGTTTTCTAACTCCATGGAATTGTGTTTTGCATTACAGATTACAGAATTTACACAAAAACAAGGTAAAATATTATAGGCGCTTATAATAGTGACAAAAAGTATCCAGAGGAGAATACATACAGTATTTTCAACCTATAAATAAAAATTGTATTAACCCTCTGGTGCCGTTTTGTCATTTTGTCATTTTTGACCAAAATATTGTATGTTTTGTTTTTTTAGAACTTATTACTTCATCTGAATTGTACGAACTTGATAAAGGTTTTTGCACTTGCTATGAAAATCATGGACATGACTCAAAAAGGTTAAATGATCCAGAAAAAAAATAATCACACTTTTACTCGAGCAGAGATATAAGCAGCAGTGGATCTGTGGAGTGAAGAAAGACTTCTGTTTTGCTGGGATGAATTCTTCCTGCTGTTTTTCCAGACTTATGCTATTATATTGTGTTGTTTTGAGTAAGTGTGCTCAAGGCTTTATAGTGAAGTGTTTCTTAGTAGAAAGAGAAATTAATCTGTGTAATCTTTTCGTGTTTTCGTTTGTATTGTGTTTCTGATGGATACATTTGATATCTTTACTTCCTTTTCTTTTGTTTGGGGAATGTAGGGGGAGGGTGCCATTTTTGTTTGAACACCTTTTTCTCCTTTTTAAGGTTAGTTAAGGAGGGAGGGAAGTCCTTTGTAATTTATTTCTTTTTATTGTCTTTTTTCTAGGTAATTTATACGTTTTTGGGTTAGTTACCTAAGTTTTTATTTGTTATTATGGCCAAGCCATCCCCTGAAGTTAGTTTTCCCCAGTGTTTGTATATAAAGAGTTGTTGTGTTGATTCTGGGACAGGAGGATGAATCATCTTGGTTCTCTTTTAATTGAACTGAATTAATTTTTTTCTTTACTTTGTTATTAGCTCCCCAACCCTAGATGGGAGAGACGTAACAATGTGTAAAGCTTGTATGATCAAGCAAATGTAACCGGGGTCAGTTCATTTCTATTATGTTGACCAATCAGAATCGAGGAATGGAACTATAATAAGGAACCGTTTTATAATAGTCATTAAATTTAAAAACATGCAAAATATTCAAATAATATCAGTGAAAAAAAAATAAAACAAACATCACAAAATTACCTTCAGCCAGCTCAACTTTCTGCTGTATAAGAAGTTGATCAATCTGTGTTGTAAAAAGGGAATAAATGCTGAAACCCATCTGTAGAACTTTGCATGATATTCATTTTTGTGAAGTGTTTCCAAAGTATTTCACAAGTAATACACAGTTCTTCCAATAAGTGGGGCATTTACTGTATCATTTCAAAGCCCAGGAAACCAATGCAAGCTGAATCACCATTTCCTGAGAAGATACTATCTCATTTCACACACACACACAGAAAAAAAAAAACATCTCTGCCTACAGTGGCATACTGTGCTGTTCATACGTAGCAGTAAAGCTCTACCTGGGTCAGGTACTCCAGTCCTGGTGGGCAGCCAGCAGGTCTTTGTGGAACTGGCATCACGGGCACTTGACCTTGCAAAGGGAAGAAAATTAGGAGTGAGAACATGAGATAAGATTTTGAAGCTGGTGTGTGGTGGGCGTTCTGGTGCACTATGGCTGCCGTCGCATCATCCAGGTGGATGCTGCACACTGGTGGTGGATGAGGAGATCCCCCCTGACAATGTAAAGCGCTTTGAGTGCCTAGAAAAGCGCTATATAAATGTAATGAATTATTATTATTATTATTATTATAAGATTTTGAAAAATCTACATTTCCTCAGATTCCCTTACCTTGGCCTGGTATAGCTGGTCCCTGGTTATAAGGAGGGGCGGGATGAATTGCGTTTTTCTGTGGTTGGAGGTCAATTGGGTAACCTGGTTTAAATCAAGAGAATCAAAGAAGAGTATCAAAGAGCATCAACTGACACTGTTCTCAATGTCATGTGAAAGCCAGGGTGTTTATTTGAGTTATATACTGTATAACAGCAATTTAACAGTCCTGTCAGGATCAGGTTGCTGATGATAAGGTTTGACACACTCACCATTATTTGTAGCCATGGCGGAAGACTGCAAATTACGTTCTGTAAACATGCAAACCAGAAAAGCAAGTTAAGCAAATATTTTCCTGTATGTTTTTTTTTCTTTTTTCCATGCTTCGTAGGGAATGGAATGTCGACCGCCCAAGATTTTCATTGCAAATGAATCCACAAAACAAACAGGATGGCATTAATACACAAAATTAATGTTGGGAACACCTGTGAATTAACCAGGAAATAACTGGGAAGTTGGACCGCAGGTACAGAATGCAAATCACATGTAGTCTTCCTAAACTCATTTTAGGATAATCCACTCGAATACAAGAGGTTTGTAACATAGTTAACATACTATGTTTATAATTTTAATAATTGATATAAACTGCAGCTTTTGTATTCGAAGTAATCAGTACACCATAATGCATTCATACCAAAAATGAAACGGAAAAAAGAAAATTCATACTTTTATATTAATTTACTCTATTTTAAGGACATTTAAGGAAACTAAATATTACCAAATAAACAATCAGTCAATTATTTAGATAATTAATAACTGGATTACTCTGTGAGCCACATCATTATAATACTTACAGTACTAACTAAATAAATAAAATGGTATCATTTACTACTACTTTCCACTACTAGGCCTCCACTGAAGAAATATTATGCATAAATTAATAACTATGACATAAGCCTACATAACAATGACATGGCAATTCTATGATTTCAGAGGGATAGATACTGTAACAGATGTAAACATGCAATTGTTACTTTAAGGATCTATTTATACCTGACTTATGCATTAAATATGCTGCTTCGTTGATGTATAACTTAGTCCGTCTTATTAGTTTTGATGTTAATGTTACAGGTTAACGGACAAAGTTTGTACAGTGTATGCTGCATTAATCTAATATGCCATCAACTCACCTGTTACTTGTTCAAAGTGAAGTGCTGTGGATACTGATGCCGTAGATCTCGCGTGTTAGTCCTTTACTTCAATTTACTTTATTCAATTCCGCTCAGAGAGAGACAGGTTATTTTTTATATATATTTATTATTATTATTTTAGTGGGCGACAGTCGCTCAGAGCTGTTTTCTCTTCGCCCTTTATCTGCCTCGCACACATGGGTTTCCTTCCCGTGAAACAATCTGTTTCTGCTCACGAACACACCCCTAACAGAAAAACGAAAGTGACCGACGGGAAGGGATGGGCGTATCGATCCAAAGTATCGATATATCGATACTGACGCGAGTATCGAAATATCGATACTCAAACAAAAAAAATATCGATATTAAGGTGTGTTTTATTTACCAGTGATTTTGTTAATTCAACAACAACAACAACAACAAATAATGCGTACAATATGCATTCAATTGGACGAATAACCTATGTTAGTAAATAATTGTGCAGGATATAACTATTTTCCTGCTCATCTGAACACACGCAAATGTTGCAAGACAGAACCAATCAATCACAGAGAGCGTTCACTCAATTCTGACAGTGCATTCAAACAGGGCTGCTTTTGCTGAACAATGCTTATCAGAGGACAGAAGGACAGAGTTATTTCACAACAAACAAACTGAAATTGTAGCCTACATAGTTTGTGCAATTACAGTTATTTAAATTGAACGTAGAAAGATAATATTGGTCATGTTCTATTCTGTAATGTTAATAGAAATCATACACTGTCAGAATAAAAAGGTTGCATTTTATGTATGCAACAACCTGTCACTGGCAGTCCCTTATGAAAATGAACAAATGGTTTTACTAAAGTGACCATAGTTCAACAGTAGTATTTGTAGATTTGAATCACGTGTAAACAAAAAACATATTTGAACCATGTGTAAACAAAAATATAACCTAATAAGTTACAATTAAGGCGTATTGAATTTTAAAATGCATTTTAAACATAAAGTTACGTGCTTATCATTACCCATTTTACTCTTAGTAATTTAATAATTTAATAAATTTCATAATTTAAAAGTTTAGTTCAGAAGTATCGAATCGGTATCGATATCGACGATACTGCCTTGAAAAATATCGGTATCGTATCGAAAACAAAATAAGTGGTATCGCCCATCCCTATTAAAGACACAAAACACCCGATCCCCACGAGGTCCCAGGGAGCCTCTCGCGAGTCCAAATTAATGACAAAGAGCACAGCACAGCGTCATTACCATGTGTGTGTGTGTGTGTGTGTGTGTGTGTGTGTGTTAACGGCAGGG